TATTGTCTTTTGTTTCTTAGCAGTGCTTTTTCGCGCCACAGGCTCTGCCAGTAACCTAATTTCAACAAATGACATGGGACTGCTATTTTATATTCTTTTTTGTCTTAATGAGTAGGAAATAAGAAATTAATCTTTTCTTGGTTACCTAAGGTCATCCTTATAAACCACAAATACTATCTTCTGCCATGTAGAGGGCATGTGATTATGCCACCAGAGGCTGTTAACGACATTTGGTTTTATTTCTCTCTACAAAGACTGTTTTTTGTTTTAAGTGGGTGTGATTTCTCCCTACTTCCCCTGCCTCTCCATCCTCATTGTTAGCTGTTGTGGCTGGTGTTTAATACTCCAACTAGCTATTGAACTAGTTAACTATATTCTGAAAATGTCTTTTCCGTTTCTAGAATGAATTTGTCGTTTAATGTATATATGAATATATAGATAACTTTGGAGTGTTCTGTGTGGAACAGAACTGTTTATACAGCCCACTGACATGAGCTCTGGGAATCTGAACTATCTGAAGTGTGCTGCTATGTTTGTTGCTTTTATACTATTTTTCATTTTACAGGAACACAGCCAACTGCTGCTCCTGTAGTGTGCATTACTGTGTCATATTTATCTGTTTATATTATAAACCACATATTAGTTAATTAATGTGGGTGGGGGAATATTGTTTCATTGGTGCCCTCAGATATGGCCCTGATTTCTCATAGTTGACCTTTATTTTCCAAGGAATTAAAAACATTTGATTAGGCTCTTAGAAGAAATGCATGATTTTTTTTTTTTTTTTTTTTTTTTTTGAGACGGAATTTTGCTCTTGTTGCCCAGGCTGGAGTGCAGTGGCACGATCTTGGCTCACTGCAGTCTCTGCCTCCTGGGTTCAAGCAATTCTCGTCTCAGCCTCCCGAGTAGTTGGGATTACAGATGTGCATCACCACACCTGGCTAATTTTGTATTTTTAGTAGAGACGGGGTTTCTCCATGTTGGTTAGGCTGGTCTGGAACTCCCAGCCTCAGGTGATCCTCCCGTCTTGGCCTCCCAGAGTGCTGGGATTACAGGCATGAGCCACTGCGCCCGGCCACATGATTTAATAAACGATTAGATAACTGTCTTCTGAGAAAAAGTATGATCCCATTGTGCTAGTATTTCTGAAGATAAACATATCTTTGGAATCAAAAGAAGCCACATTTTTAATCAGTAACAGGTAGCAGTATGATAAATCCTCAGTTAGCCATTGGAGATTCTTTTTTGTAATTATGTGTTTTGATAAATAAATTTTATTACAAATAAAGAGAAAGACTAATTATTGTAACTTAAAATGACACAATAAGACCAGCAGCATTTTTTACTTTAGTCTCCCAAATACACCATTAAATCTTCATGCAGTTGTATATTTAATAACCCATATCCAAAAGAAAGAAAAATCTATCTTCACCCTATTCCTAATTACTTTTCTATTTTTTTCTTTCAACCTGAAACCGACCAAATTCTTGGAATGTTTTCTGTGATGATTCCTTTTCTTCTCTCTTAAATATGTCTAATTTTTGAATAGGTAATATTCAGTTTTGCTTAAAAAATTAGTAAATATATATTCTTTTTTTTTTTTTTTTTTTGGAGACATAGTTTCCCTCTTTTTGACCAAGCTGGAGTCCAATGGCACGGTCTAGGCTCACTGCAACCTCCACCTCCTGGGTTCAAACGATTCTCCTGCCTCAGTCTCCCAAGTAGCTTGGATTACAGTTGCCCGCCACCATGCCGAGCTAATTTTTTTTTGTAATTTTAGTAGAGACAGGGTTTCACCATGTTGGCCAGACTGGTCTTGAACTCCTGACCTCAGGTCAGAGATTCACCCACCTCGACCTCCCAAAGTACTGGGATTACAGGCGTGAGCCACTGTACCCGGCCAATATATACATATTTAAAGATACAATATAGAGTGAAGTTGCATTACTACCCTAGTACCTGCCATATGCCCAGTTTTCAGTGTGCCCCCCATCACCAACACAAACATATAAGCACCCCCTCTTATTAATATCTTAGCATTCCTGTACGGTTTCTTTGTGCATATTTAGTAAATACAGTAATTCCCCCAGTAATTCCCCCTTTTGAAGAGGTATGTTCCAAGACGCCCAAGTAGATGCCTGAAACCTCAGATAGTACTGAACCCTATATACTATGCACAGGTTTCTTTTTCCCTCTTCAGAATTTCAGGTAGAAGATGTGTTCTTACTGTCGATCTTAGCAACCTCAGCATGATTTGGTTTTTATTGAGAACTTACACCTTTTCATTAAAAGGATGTATTTTACTGTTTGTTTTGGCATACTCAAATTTCCAGCATCACTACTCTTGCACCTTGGGGCCATTATTAAGTAATGTAAGTGTTACTTGAACCCAAGCATTGTGATACCATGATAGTCAATCTGATAATCGAGAGGGTCCCATAAGGAATGGGTGGATAGCATATGCAAGATACGATGGACAAAGGGATGATTCATATCTTGGGTGGATGGAGCAGGATGGTGCCATATTTCATCATGTTACTCAGAACAGTGAGAAATTTAAAATTTATGAATTATTTATTTCTGGAATTTTCCATTTAATATTTTCAGGCCATGGTTGATTGGGTAACAAGCTGTGAAAAGTGAAACAAGGGGGGGCCATTGTGTGATAAGATAAAAATAATTATCTCTTCCTTTTTCTACATAAAAGTAAAGCGTATTAGTCATACAATTACTGCTTTTTTACTTTTTGTTTTCAGATCTTTGTTAGCAAATAGAGTCTCCTCAGTTTTTTGTGCCAGCCACCTTCCGTTTTTTGAGACGGTGTCTCACTGTCTTGCCCAGGCTAGAGTACGTGGCGCATTCTCAGCTCACTGCAACCTCTTCCTCCCGGGTTCAAGTGATTCCTACCTCAGCCTCCCAAGTAGCTAGGATTACGGGTGTGCATGGGCCACCACATCTGGCTAATTTTTGTATTTTTAATAGAGACAGGGTTTCACCATGTTGACCAGGCTGGTCTTGAACTCCTGACTTTAAGGAATCTGCCCACCTCAGCCTCCGAAAAGTGCTAGGATTACAGTCATGAGCCCCGTGCCTTTCTATCTCCTGCTAATTAATACTTTGAATCAGACTTCTCAACATCCTTCATGAGACCTCGTTTCTTCTTTGCCTTTGTTGATTCGGGATACCGTCTGTACTGGGTGTCTGGGTTGATACCATTTGGGCCTTACTGCCAGAGCTTTCCGTTCTACGGTGTATAGATAGTATATGCACATAAATATAAACCTGTAGAAAGAGGCACAGTGCTTAAAGAGAACCGTTGAAGTCCTAAGCAGATAAGTGGGAAAACCAAGGACACTAGCTTTTGTGTCACTCCTTCACTATCTCTAGGGGTCCAGCTTCCAGCTGGCAAACACTTCAAATGTGTGTACTTTCTACATTCCGTCTTATACCCAAAACAAACGTTGGCATTACTGGGATTAGGCAGTTTGTGTTGTAACCATCTTGGGTTCCACAGTGCCTGGCAGATAGTTACCCAAATGTTTATTACATGGGTATGTCATGCTCTCTGGCTGGTTCTTTATTTACTGTCTTCCTTTCCTTCTCCCATAGCCTAACTCTGAGCATTGTTCAAAGCTCTCTAATTGGCCCTTGATTCTTTGTGTCCTCACTGTCACTGCCCGCAAAGAACTCAGCTACTCTCAGCATCTCAACTACTACATTTGTGGATGTTTCTTAACACCTCTCTTTCATTTTATTTTCTCTCATTTTCAAGGCTTTAACGTCTACCTCTAACATATTTGCTATTATGTACTAGGTACATTTATTATATGTTAATTTTTATAACAAAGTACTATTAAATCGTTACATAGATGAAGAAACTTGGGTTCAGAGGGATCACACAACTACTTAGGGACCCGGAGCTAGTAAATTGAAGACGTTACTTGAAGTCACTGCACTTGATTATTCCCTGACTCCTCACACTCAAAACCTAGAAATAATGTAAGCATTAGGAAGTGTGAAGCTTTGTTTCTGTTATAGTTGACTCTGATGTTGGGCTGTTTTCTGTACCTGTATTTCATCATTTAGAAATGAGTGATTTAGGATTTGGGATAGAAATCTAGGATTGCTTATAGGATAGGATCTGTCAGCCAGTTCTATACTTCCAAGAACCAGGGCTGTTTGTTCTCTACTTAGATATATTAGTAGAATTATCCTACATGCATGTGCTGCTTTTATTTGATTAGGGTTTGAATACTAAATCAGTGGATTTAATATGGGAGATAAACTACTCTGTCCTCAAATAATGTAAATTTTTTTGTCTTAAAATGTGTTTGCATTCTATTAAGGTTAATTTTTGTCCACTGACTTAATGATTTTTAAACAACTGTACAAAATTGATTTGTTTAGGAAAATTTCTTTCTTAAACTTTAGGTATAACCTAGAAAGACATGAGTTGGTTCATTTCTTTCTCAATTATTTTTCTAAGTCTATAACCATTGTTTCTATCTTATACAATAACTTTACAGTACTAATGTGTTTTTAATCATGGCTGGAGAACTATTTTGAACTATCTTACCTTATGGTATGGTATATTCATTAGTAAAGAAATGTAATGAATACTTTAAAATAGTCTACATTTTATCTCTAAGTATATTCGTATATTCATTTATTTATTTGGTTTTTTTAACACGCATTCTAAAATGGGGTCTGATTTTTACCTTGAATACGCTCTGTATAAAGGTGGCTTTTCAAACGTATATATAAAATGATGTTTGTTTTAAACAAAAAAACTAAGACTTTATTGGATAATTATATCAATTTAAAAGGCTAATTTTGTTTTATATTCTAAGGGTAATTTTAGCAGCAGAAAGTATAAAAAATAAAGTTATTTTTCAATTGTCATTTATCCAATTTGGATTATATATAACTACTATTTCAGGAGATTTATTAAAAATATTTTATGTACAATATTTCAATTTATTTTTTTCTTCTTGTTGCAGGAGCTAGAGTTAATGCCAAAGACAGCAAATGGTTGACACCTTTACACAGAGCAGTTGCATCTTGTAGTGAGGTATGAAATTTCTCTTAGTAAATATATTGTATATGAAAACATTAAATAGGCATACCTGTGAATCCATATGCAAATTCTATGTTTTCAAAAGAAGGAAAAGCTACTGAGATAACTCAACTGGTCATTTTACTTTAGAATTTGTACAAAACAAGTTAATTGTTTCATTTATTTTGTTTATAAGGCCTCTTGCAGTCTGAAATAGCAGAGAATAGAAAACCCTATCTCTGTCTCTTCTACAAGAGAGATCATTTTTCTGTCCTACATAATCTTCCTCAGGGTTTTTCTCTACCTGTTTACAATAGTCTGTTACAAAGGTTACACTGATTGTGATCAAGAAATAATCTCATCAATCTATAATAATTAATTGAAATGTTACTTAGCTAAACACTGAAATTAACTTCAAAACCATTACTTGATTGCACATTTTACCAGGTATAAATATATAACTTTAAAATGTTTGAGAGGGATTACAAGGAAGAACAGTTCCTTCTTGTTTACAGCCCTGTATATTGTTTGCTTGTCAAGATAACTGACATTTTTAGAAAATGTTCACTATTTGCAAGATATTTTTATATTTTTCGTATCTTTTAGTCCTGAGGACATCTTTGTGGGATAGATGTCTTGAGGAAACTATATAGTTAATGATTCATGAAAAACTACTTAGCTGTTAAGATGGGACAAAACCTGGATCTTCTTTGTTTTTGTTTTTGTTTTTTTTCTGTTATTTTACTTTATAATGTGTATTCGGTGCTTTTCTAAAATGCATTGTGTCCAAAGCACCTCTTTTACATACTTTACAGTAGTTGTAGCTTGTTGCAAAGTTAAAAAATAATTTAAAATACAAAAGTATGTGATAGTATAAGTTTATGTTCATCTAGTATTTCTTTAGTTATTCAAATTGTGAGGTTAAGAAAGGAACTCCTAAGTGTAGCTACTGGGGACTATGTAGTTTGGGAGGAGGAAAGGGAACTCTAACTAGCGCCTCGGGACAAACTACAGAGCTTCTGTCTCTTTGTCCTTTTCTGTATTCCTCATTGTGAGCTACATCTTGAACCCAGAGCAAGAGCTGGGCAAGTGAGGAGACACAAAGGTGAAATGTGAATGGGAAAGATTACAAACCCTGTAGTTAACAGAGACAATCTATTAGCTGTAGCCTCCTAGTTAGGAGAAGAAGGGAGGGGACAGTGGGTGCAACTGAACACACAACCTAACTCTGAACTGGGTCCTTGATGTGTTATAGCTTATGAACTTATGGAACTTAGATTTGGAGACACTGGCTTCAGTTATTACGTGAAACTTTTCAGCTGCGCGATGTTGGACAAGTCTAGGAATTATAAAAACTAAGATATATTAGCCAAAATACTTTGAATGCTGAAATTCCATTGTCGTGTTATTAATTTTGTGGTTAAACCTCCATAAAGATGTTTCTTTAAATAAAAGCAGTTAAGATAAACATTACTGTTATTGGAACATATTAATGTTAGCCATACCTACACATTTTGTATTAAGACTCTTGGGATTGTGGCTATTAAAATAATGGATTTTTAAGAGATTAAGTCGTAAGAAGATACAATTTATATATTTGCAGAAATTGTAAAACAGACCAAAAATTACTAAAGAAAAATTAACATTAGAGGAAGACAGCAAATTCTGCCAGAGACTTAATTCCTAATTTTTAAAAACTATGTGCTCAGCCTGAATTTAAGGGCAAGTTGTAGGTTAGAAAGCAAATAATCCTAGTAAGTTTCTTAATTCTACTCTTCAATCAAAAAATTACAAGACAAATCACTAAACAGAAACACAACCAAGAACCCTCAGAGTCTACTTCATTCCCCTGCTACCTCCACTGGAGCAGGCGCTAGTATCCACAGCTGTAGGACCTGAAGACAGATCACATCACAGGACTCTTTACAGACATTCCCCAGTACCAGCCCAAAGCCTAGTAGCTCCAGTGGGTTGACTAGACCCAGAAGAGCAAAAACAATCACTACAGTTTGGCTCTCAGCAGTCCCCATTCCTACGGGAAGTGGGCTAACACCACATCAAGGGAATACCCTGTGGGACAAAGTAATTTAAACAGTAGTCCTTGAATCCCAGATCTTCCCTCTGACATAGTCCACCCAAGTGAGAAAGAACCAGAAAAACAATTCTGGTAATATGACAAAACAAGGTTATTTAACACCCCCAAAATATACCAGCTTACCAGCAATGGATGCAAACCAAGACGAAATCTATGAATTGCCAGAAAAAGAAGTCAGAAGGTTGATTGTTAAGCTAATTAAGGAGGCACCAGAGAAAGGTGAAGTCCAATTTATAGAATATGAAAGGAAAATTCTTTAGTGAAATAGGTAAAAGCAATCACAACTTCTAGAAATCAAGCACACTTAGAGAAATGCAAAATGCACTGGAAAGTCTCAGCAATAGAATCGAACAAACAGAAGAACTTTAGCACTTGAAGACAAGGCTTTTGAAATTAACCCAATCCATCAAAGACAAAGAAAAAAAATTCTTTTTAAATGAACAAAGCCTCCAAGAAGTTTGGGACTGTGTTAAATTTCCAAACCTGAGAATAGTTGGTGTTCCTGAGGAAGAAGAGAAATCTTAAAGTTTAGAAACTATATTTGAGGGAATAATTGAGGAAAACTTTCCCAGCCTTGCAAGAGATCTGGACATACAAATACAAGTAGCTCAAAGAACACCTGGCAAATCACAAAAAGATTATCACCTAGGCACATAATCATCACGTTATCTAAAGTCAAGATGAAGGAAAGAATCTTCAGAGCTATGAGGCAAAAGCATTAGGTAACCTATAAAGGAAACACGTATCAGATTAACAGCAGATTTCTCAGTGAAACCCTACAAAGCTAGAAGGGATTGGGGGTTCTATTTTTAGCCTCCTTAAAGCAATTACCAGCCAAGAATTTTGTATCCAGTGAAACTAAGCTTCATAAATGAAGGAGGATATACAGTATTTTCCAGACATATAAATTCTGAGAGAATTCACCACCACCAAGCCAGCGCTACAAGAACTGCTAAAAGGAGCTCTAAATCTTGAAAGAAATTCTTGAAATACTCCAAAATATAACCTCCTTAAACCATAAATCTTACAAGACCTGTGTAACAATAATACAGTTTAAAAAAAAAAAAAAAGGTATTCAGGCAACAAATAGCATGAGGAATAGAGTAGTGCCTCACATCTCAATATTAACATTAAATGTAAATGGCCTAAATGCTCCACTTAAAGGATACAGAATGGAAGAATGGATAAGAATTCACCAACCAAGTTTCTGCTGTCTTCAGTAGACTCACCTAACACGTAAGGACTCACAGAAACTTTAGGCAAAGGAGTAGAAAAAGGTATTCTATGCAAATGGACACCAAAAGTGAGCAGGGATCACTGTTTTTATATCAGACAAAACAAACCTTAAAGCAATAGCAGTTAGAAAAAACAAAGAGGGCCATTATATAATGATAAAAGAACTAGTCCAACAGGAAAATATCACAGTTCTAAATATATATGCTCCTAACACTGGAGCTCCCAAATTTGTAAAACAGGGACTACTAGACCTAAGAAATGAGATAGCAACACAATAATAGTGGGGGACTTTAATACTCCACTGACATCACTAGACCGATCATCAAAACAGACAGTCAACAAAGAAACAATGGACCTAAACTATACCCTATAACAAATGGACTTGACAGATATTTACAGCATAGTCTACCGAACAACTGCAGAATATGCATTCTATTCATCAGCACATGAAATGTTCTCCAATATAAACCATATGATAGGCCACTCAACAAGTCTCAGTAAATTTAATAAAACCTAACATATATCAAGTACTCTCTCAGACCACAGTGGAATAAAATTGGAAATGAACTCCAAAAGGAAGCCACAAAACCATGCAGACATGGAAATTAAATAATCTGCTCCTGAATGATCATTGGGTCAACAAGGAAATCAAGATGGAAATTGAAATATTCTTTGAACTGAATGATAATAGTGGCACAACCTATCAAAACCTCTGGGATACAGCAAAAGTAGTGCTAGGAGGAAAGTTCATAGCATTAAATGTCTACATCAGAAAGTCTGAAAGAGCACAAATAGACGATCTAAGGCCATACCTCACGGAACTGGAGAAACAAGAACCATCCAAACCCAAACCCAGCAGAAGAAAAGAAATCGTGAACATCAGAGCAGAACTAAATGAAATTGAAACCAAAATTTTTTTAAAAACCCAGAAAGATAAATGAAACAAAAAACTGGTTCTTTGAAAAAATAAATAACATTGATAGACCATTAGCAAGATTCATCAAGAAAAGAAGAGACCATATATGCTCAATTAGAAATGAAATGGGAGATATTACAAATGATAGTACAGAAATACAAAAGATTATCCAAAGCTAATATGAACACCTTTACATGCATAAACTAGAAAACCTAGAGGAGATGGATAAGTTCCTGGAAATATCCAACCTTCCTAGATTAAAGTAGGAAGATATAGAATCTCTGAACAGACCAATAACAAGCAGCAAGATTAAAATGATAATTTTTAAATTGCCAACAAATAAAAAGTCCATGATAGATTCACAGCTGAATTCTATCAAACATTCAAGGAAGAATTGGTACCAGTCCTATTGATGCTATTTGAAAAGAGGCAATCCTTCCTAAATCGTTTTCTGAAGCCAGTGTCACCCTCATACCAAAACCAGGGAAGGACGTAACAACGAAAACTACAGACCAATATCCCTGATGAGCATAGGTGCAAAAGTCCTCAACAAAATACGAGCAAACCAAATCCAACAGCATATCAAAGAGATGATCCACCATGATCAGGTGGGTTTCATACCAGGGGTGCATGGATGGTGTTATTAACATACCTAAGTCAGTAAATGTAATACACCACATAAACAGAATTAAAAACAAATATCACATGATCACCTCAATAGATGCAGAAAAAGCATTTGACAAAATCCAGCATCCTTTTATGATTAAA